GTTAAAAGACTTGCAAAAAAATAAAAAAGATATATTCCCGATTTCTAATTCTTATTTTGGTCGGAAGTAAACACAGAACTCTGTTAGAAAGCAGGTTTGAAAGCATGATTTTCATTGATTATGTTTCACTTCCGGAAAACTGCGCATGCCCCAAAAATGGATTAGTACTAATTAGTACTAAATATTATTCACGGGTTAAGTGCGTGTACTCTAGGAAACAAAGGATTCTGTATGAATTACTACTAATTAGTACTAAATATTATTCACGGGTTAAGTGCGTGTACTCTAGGAAACAAAAGATTCTGTATGAATTACTACTAATTAGTACTAAATATTATTCACGAGTTAAGTGCGTGTACTCTAGGAAACAAAGGATTCTGTATGAATTACTGCTCAAATCAAAATCAAACTCAAACATGTAAGTTCATGAGTTTATATGTAAATTCTATTTTGACTTAACTAAAGTGAATTGTTGTCACCAAATAATTTTTGAAATTTTGGCACAAAATTTTGAAATAACAAGATATGGAAGCCATGTTGGAGGATATAACAAAAGAGACTAATGACGAATCTTTTGTTAAATTCCTCCGACGTGGCGGCCATGAAAACCATCATTCCTGAAATACTAAAGTATTTCAGGAATGCAGTGTAGACTGAATAATATCAAATGGACTGATTCCATAATATGAGTCGTAGACATCAGTTTCACTATTAATATTAATGAGTATTAAAACACGACAAGGCCTATTTCATGCTAATTCACCTTTTCGGTGCTAGCCGTCACGTGGTATAAATTGTGTTAGATTGTGTTACGGTCACCAAGAAGTTCGGACATTGTTCTCGGATTTCCGTACGAATGTACTGACTCTAAATGAACTATTTACTTGGTTCGTTTAGCAAGTTCTCTAAATACAAGTAAAATATCATTTTCCTAACTTGATTGAAGCTTTTCTTACTGCTGTTAAGAGAGCTAACTAAAGAAATCTATCTAAATTTTCTCTTTAAACTCAGTGAATTTTTATGGAAATCCGAGAACGATGTCCGAACGTTTTGGTGACCGTAACGAAATCCAACATAGTGTTTACAACGTGACGGCTATCGCCGAAAAGGTAAATTTCACGCCTCGATCAACATCGTTCTATGTTTATCTAGCTAGGGGATACCCCTTTGCGACATTACGAGTCACGCCATTGTTAGCGTGGTATAAGTCTGTCTATAATTAGTTAGTAGTCCTAATTTTCGTAATATATTTAAAGCCAATCCGAATCATATATCAAAAAAAAAAAAAAAAAAAGAAGATGAGATTTGAAAATTAGTTACCATGCCTCTGACTTGTGTTTTGAACTCTGGGGCGACCTTTGGTTCAAATATTTTTGTTTCAGAATATTGTTTCGAGTTTCAAGAATATTGTTTTGAATTTCAGAATATTGTTTTTTTTTTTAAATACACACTTACACACCACACACACACACACACACACACACACACACACACACACACACACACACACACACACACACACACACTTTATTATCTTTCCCCATAAGGGCTTTTCAAAGACAATATATTACAATCAAAAAGTCAGCTAAATATTTAAATTATTATTATTACGGAAAAAACATATATTACAATATCTTATAGTAAAATAATAGTTATCTATAAGTAATGAAGATACAAATAAGAAAGAAGAAAGTATGAACATACAAATAAATAAACTAATAAACTAGAGAGCTAATTATCTATGAACTCCCGTAATAACTTAGATCTAAGCGACTGTTTGAAAATATTAACATTTCTGCACAGTTTAAGGGACGATTCGATAGAATTCCAGAGATTGATTGTTCTATAATAAAATGTTCTTTGGCCACTGGCCGAATTTCTAGTACTGCGCGATTCCGTTCGTTTTGTGTTTCAGATAGAATTGCCCCTAGTCGACCTCTTTTATCTCCCGAGGAGCTTTTTATTCGACCTCTCTTGTCTATGGCCAAAACCGGCAAAAAACTGAAATTTTCAAAAAGCCGGACACAGGGATTTGTGTAGTCTCCCCCACAGCCGCTTTCAGTGTCGTCACGCAACGCTTTCTCCCCTGAGTAGCGGCTGCTTACCCGAGCACAACATTCCTTTCCTATGAATTAACCAATCACGGCTTAGTTCTCGAAAACCAGGAACCATTCGCGCCACATGGAAAATAAGATGCGTCGTTATAGGAAGGCTTCGAGATAGCAGCTAAGAAATTTCGCATCAAACAGTTTAATGATCATCAGAAAGACGCTATACGACAGATTTTACAAGAAAAATCAAGAATTCTTTGAAAATATACCTACTAGATAATGGAAATCGCTCAAAGGAATAAAAAATTGGCGCTCTTGAGCATAGCCCAGTAAGTTCTTTCGAGACAAGCTCGAGGACTTTTTGAATAACAGGAGTTCGAAGTTCTTGACATTTCATATAAACTGCTAACGCGACGTTAGAAGGTTGGCCATAAGATAACGCTTTAGCTAACGATTCGTGTTCACTTTTCACGACTTTTCCGAACAGTATCAAACTGAGCTAATCCTCGCAGTACAAGCGAAGTAAATACCAGAACTGTGAGCGATACCCAGAAGTTTACAATGAATACTAGTGGAAGTCAACGGTGTGACAGTGTCAGATTTAAAAATTATCTAGCCTTTTTGCGATTTTCTTTAGCTTTACACTGCATTCGTTGTTTAAAATGAGTGATCTGCGCGGCTCATCTTCTTCGTTTATTAAGAATACTGTCAGACTTTATATTCAAATTCAATCTCTTAAATCTTGAGTCGTCTCGTTTAACTTTCAAGTCTAAATTAGGCATTTAAAAAAAATTTCCAGTTTCTTTTTGCTTCTAATATTTTGGTACGAGCTCGATAGCTAAACTTATAGAAATATAATTCTTTTCTTTCTTTATGAACAAAGAAAACACTTAGTTCCGTCTCCAATAATTTTTTTTTTTTTTTTTTTTTTTTT